GAAGAATCAGCGCCCCGCGCTCTCGAGGGACAGCGCTGCGCACTGCGCTACAGGACGGCGCCGCGCGACCGATTAGCGAACAGCGCTTTGCGCTCGATCCTGGTGTCCACATACTGCCTGCACCAGGGCCGCGCCTTCTTTACCCCCATTATCATGGGCCTGTAGCTGTGGTTTGGGCCTGTAGCCGAAGTTTGGGATCCGAAAGTTTTAGCTCGGGCCTGTAGCTGTAGCAGGAGAATAGTATTCTGCTGTTTCGGTCGCGCCCCATTATCATGGGCCTGTAGCTGTGGCTTGGGCCTGTAGCCGAAGCTCGGGACCCGAAAGCTTTAGCTCGGGCCTGTAGCTGTAGCAGGAGAATCGTATTCTGCTGTTTCGGTCGCACCCAAATCGCCCTGCTCACAGCAACTCATCTGGACATCGTCGTTGGAAACCGGACCTACAAATCCCGATAGTCGGTACTCTTCGCTAGAGTGGTTGTCTAGGGCCGTCTTGGGGCCTCGTGGGCAGTCTTCGGGCCCTCTGGGAAGCCTCTTGGGCCGTCTTGGGGCAATATTGGGTGCCTCTTGAGCCGTCCTGTAGCTCCGGAAAGCCGAAAAGACGAGAAGGCCAACATCCTCCAAAAACCATAGTACAATTCGTGGCTTTGGTCTTTCGGGGCCCTCCCATGAAGCCTTTTGGAGGCCTCTTGGAGCGTCTTGCAAGCCTCTTGGGCCGTCTGGGGCCCACCTTGAACGTCCTGGAGCGATCGTTCGGCGTCTCAGGAGCCCACGAAAGTGCCGACAGTTGCGCACTTGGCAGCTCCCCCCGCACGGAGCTGCGAGGTCCCGACGCGATCCGCGTGTGACCCCACTCCGCTGGGCCCAGGAGCCCACGAAAGGACCGACAGTTGCGCAGTTGGCAGCTCCCCCCGCAGGGAGCCGCGAGGTGCCGACGCGATCCGCGTGTAACCCCACTCCGCTGGGCCTCCCAGTCGCCCACGAAAGTGCCGGCCGTTGCGCGGTTGGCAGCTCCCCCCGCAGAGAACCGCGAGGTCCCGACGCGATCCGCGTGTAACCCCACTTCGCTGGGCCTCCCAGGAGCCCACGAAAGTGCCGACAATTGCGCAGTTCGCGGCTCCTCCCGCAGAGAGCCGCGAGGTCCCGACGCGATCCGTGTGTAACCCCACTCCGCTGGGCCTCCCAGGAGCCCACGAAAGTGCCGACAGTTGCGCAGTTGGCAGCTCCCCCCGCAGGGAGCCGCGAGGTGCCGACGCGATCCGCGTGTAACCCCACTCCGCTGGGCCTCCCAGGAGCCCACGAAAATGCCGACAGTTTTGCAGTTGGCAGCTCCCCCCGCAGGGAGCCGCGAGGTCCCGACGCGATCCGCGTGCAACCCCACCTCCGCTGGGCCTCCCAGGAGCCCACGAAAGCCGACAGTTGCGCAGTTGGCAGCTCCCCCCGCAGGGAGCCGCGAGGTCCCGACGCGATCCGCGTGTAACCCCACTCCGCTGGGCCTCCCAGGAGCCCACGAAAATGCCAACAATTGCGCACTTGGCAGCTCCCCCCGCAGGGAGCCGCGAGGTCCCGACGCGATCCGCGTGTAACACCACTCCGCTGGGCCTCCCAGTCGCCCACGAAAGTGCCGACAGTTGAGCAAGATCGCAGGAGGCGACATATGCGCATATCGCAACCCCCCAGAGGGCGCCGCGAGGAGGAGGTAGGAGGCAGGAAGGAAGTGGGCGGGAGGACGGGGCGACCAGAGTGCTCTATTCAAAACGAGTACCCAACCAAGGGAGGGTTGGGAAAAACACAGACAAAGTGAACCGCCAATCTCCACGAAACCAGATAGGGGAACGTGTGGGAAGTGGGGGGGGGCGACGAGAACCCCGAGCTGATGCGAGCGTTAGGGGGGAATCCTTGGAGCTGTGCCTCTTCGTTGGTGTGCCCCTGGGCCCCTCCCCAGCAGAAGTGCGGCTGCCTGCCAGGTGCGCCTCGCCCGCGCACGCCGCCGCGCACGCCGCCGCCCTGCTGGCCCTCGTGGAGCGGCGCGAGCTCGACGTGGCCCTGTCGCTGCTCCGGGCGCTGCGCGCCGGCGCCGCCGAGGCCCTCGGCCAGTGCGGCTCGGCCGCGCCCGCGCGCGCGTTCAACGAGCTGCTGGGCAGAGCGCAGCGCGCAGTGGCGAAGGCCCTGCTGACGAGGAGGAGGACGACGACGACGAGGACGACGACGACGACGACGACGAGGACGACGACGACGACGACGACGACGACGACGACGACGACGACGACGACGACGACGACGACGACGACGACGACGACGACGAGGAGGGTCGAGGATCGAGCTTTGGCGTGCTGGGGGCCTCCAGGGGGCGCCGCATCGCCATGGCTGGATCCGAGGATCGATGGTCGACTTGGGGGGCGTGCCTCGGGATGGGTCCTGATGGTAGGAACGTCCTGGGAGCGGGGGCCCCAGACGGCCAACGTCTCAAGAAGAAATCGAGGCTGAGGTCTTGTGCCGTCTCCAGCCTCTGGGGGGCCTTCGTCGGGCCCTGGGATCGCATAAAACCGACTAGAGATGAAGAGCTGGCCCTGGAGAGTGGGCTGGGGCTTTCAGGGGCCCCGCGCAGAATAAACCAAGACCTCGGATGTTTCGGGCCGCGGGGAGGAGGGGGAGGAGGAGGAGCAGGAGGAGGAGGAGCAGGAGGTGGAGGAGGAGGCGGAGGAAGAGGAGGAGGAGGAGGAGGAGGACGAGGAGGAGGAGGAGGGAGGAGGAGGAGAGGAGGAAGAGGAGGATGAGGAGGAGAGTGAGGAGGAGGATGATGAGGAGGAGGAGGAGGAGGAGGAGGAGGAGGAGCAGGAGGAGGAGGCGGAGAGGGATGAGGAGGAGGAGAGAGGAGTAGGAGGGGGAGGAGAAGGAAGAGGAGGAGGAGGAGGAGGAAAACCAGTGTAAAACCAAGAGTCATCAACGATGTTGGAATTCATCCTTGCTCCAAGCTCCCTCTTCATAGGCACCTGCAGCGGTTCATTTCCATTGAGGGAACTGCCTCGTTGGAAGACAACCGTTTGAAGATCCTGGAGCATGCCAAAACATTGTTCTTGGGATTTCCACGCTACGGATCAATATGACCGCTGCGTCTTCACGATCCGGAATCGCGCCAGAGCGCCATGTTTGGAACTGTAACACCGCGAATCAACATAACTGTTGCACTCGCATAATCCTGAATCCGTCCGAAACCATGTCTGGTACGTTGATTTTTGAAAATCCGTGGAACTCTTGCATTGTTTTTTATGCGCGGCGCTAAGGCGAGAGCCACATGTTGAAAAGGAACCGCCCTCACTCCGTGAAGCTCTTGCAAATTCGCATAACGAATGTGCGCGGCGCTGAGGCGATAACTACAGTTTGAAAACCATCCGCCCTCAATCCGTGAAACCCTTGCAAATGTTTAGAGCGGATGTGCACAGGGCTAAGGCGAGAGCCACACTTTGAAGACCACCCGCCCTCGATCCGTGAAACTCTTGCAGATGTTTAGAGCGGATGTGCGCGGGGCTGAGGCGAGAGCCACATGTTGGAGACCACCCGCCCTCAGTGTGCGAAACTCTTGCAAAATGTTTCAAACAAATGTGCGCGGCGGAGGGAGCCACATTGTTGAAAACCACACGCCCCCCATCCGTGACATTATTGCCACTTGTCAAGCTTCGGAGTCCTAAACGCTGAGGGCGTCTCGGGCGAGACGCCCGGACCGCCCGAACAACTGGCCTCGGGGTGCGACAGGGAGAAACTATTCATCAGGGAAAGGAATGGAGGAGGAGGAGGAGGAGGAGGAGGAGGAGGAGGAGGAGGAGGAGGAGGAGGAAAACCAGTGCAAAACCAAGAGTCATCAACGATGTTGGAATTAATCCTCGCTCCAAGCTCCCTCTTCATAGGCCCCCACAGCGGTTCATTTCCATTGAGGGAACTGCCTCGTTGGAAGACAACCGTTTGAAGATCCTGGAGCATGCCAAAACATTGTTCTCGGATGTCAACGCCACGTATCTTGAGGAGCTCCGCCAAACGGTTGTAAATCATAGCCAGGGAAACCCCCCGATGAATTCGTTTCCAGAAATTCAAAATATACGGGAAAATAATTCATGGTTTCTTCACTTAATTACGCAATATGAATTTTGAAATTACCAAATATTATTTCCGTACGCCGTCAACGTCGCTTCGAAATCGTGCCATCACCGTTGTTTCGATCGAAAGTCTGTGCTGGTTGTGTTTCGCTCTCTCTGCCTGCCTTTTCCTCTCACGAGCTTGCGTCGGCAATGTTGCTTGTTGTTGCATGGGTATCGGAGAGTTGTATTACCACCAGTTTATCTTGCACTTGCTTTTTATCCTTCTGTCTTCATAGACTGCGTACTCCCATCCCCCGTCTTTGCACGCCGTGCCGCTGCGGTGGGTCCGCGGAGCGCTTTGGCTCAACATGTCCATTTTGGACATTGCCGGCGCAGGGGGGGATCTCCCGTTTTGGGGCCCCCTCCCTGGGGTCGCGGCCCAGCGCCGTGCCGCCGTGCACGGGGGCCGCGCATGCGCGGCGCCACGTCGCCGCCGCAGCTTCGTCGGCGGCAACGCCGCGGCGGCCCACCTCGCCAGGGCGTACGACGGCTTCAAGAAGACCCACGACGCCAGGCGCCCCGGATGGAGGGGGAGGGCGTGGCTGCGGTAGAGGGCGCCCAGGAAACTTGAGGCGGGGTTAGTTGGGTAACTTGGAGCAGAAGCAAAATGGGGTCGCGGGATTGTCTCACCATCCTCCACTTGCCGTGTTTCTTGTGTTCACTTCCTCCTTCGCATTGCTTTCCCTCCGCTTCTTCGGTTCCATCCTCCTCCCCCTCCGCTACCTCTTCAGCTTCCCTTCCCCTTCCCCCTCCCCCACCCCACCCCCGACCCCTTTGTCCTGCTCCTCCTCCTGCTCCACCTCCTCCTGCCCCTCCTCCTCCTCCGCCCCTTTCTCCTTTTCATCTTCTCTTGCAGCGGCCACGCCCTCAGGCAGATTCGCTGGGGCGACCGCGCTGTGCCTCGCGGGCGCCTGGGCCTGGTCCGGAAAGGCCGCGTCGTGGCCAAGCGCCGACAGCCTGCGGCCGGGCGGCAGCGGTGGTCCCACGAGTGGGACATCGCGCTGGTCCAGGCCGCAGCCTACCGCAGCCTGGCGCGGGCAGGGCGCCCGCGCAAGGGCAAGGTGGCCTGCCGACGCGAGAGAGGGCGAGGGGGGGGGGGGGAGGGGGAGGAGGAGGAGGAGGAGGAGGAGGAGGAGGACAGAGGAGGAGCACGAGGTGGAGGAGGAGGGTTTAACCGCCTTCCCCTCGCAGGTGGCGATGGGCAAGACGCGGCGCAGTCTGGAGCTCGCCTCCGCGGTGGCCCGCGTCACCGAGCGCGCTCTCGACTCGCGGCTGCGCACGTGGTTCCAGGACTGGGATGGGGAGGGGGGGGGCAAGGTCCAGGAGGAGGTGTAGGATGGCATTAGGGGGGGGTGGTTGCCAGCGGGTCGGTAGCACAGGGGACGTGGATGGGAGGGCAGGTGGGATGTGGAGGTGGCTGATGGAGACGAGGCACGGCGAGGACAGGAGGATCTCTTCCATGCTTAGAGGGATCGAGCGGATCGTCAGGGTCACCAAGATGAGTGGGAGGATCAGCGTGAGGGGGACCATGATGAGGCGGACCATGATGAGGCGCGCGATTGCGGAGGAGCACGGTCGCGAGGGCACGATCACCGAAAAAGGACGGCAGAGCGGCAGGATCAGGAGGAGCATAGTCTGGTGGCCGTGCCCCGGAATGGGGATGGGCACGGTTGACTCTGGTCAGGACAAGCAGATCCACGGCGTGCTGGTGAACCGCGGGTTTGACTGCACGCCCTGGAAGGTCCGCTTCGGGAAGCTGTCTGCCATCGTCGCGCCCCACGCGCGCTACCTCGTCCTGGACCCTCTGCCTGCTCTCTCCTCCAGTGCGCTTGGTAAACCATGCTCCTCTCCTGCTCTCCCTCCTGGCCCTCTCCATCTCCCACCATCCAGTTTTTTTTTTCTTTAAATTTTTTTTAAAAAAAATTCTCTTCTTTGTTGCACCGCGTCCTCTCTATCCGTCCGCCTCTGCGCGTTGCCGCTGGGGTTCGAGTCCACCCCGCCTCCGTCCGGACCTCTCCCATCCGCTCCCCGGCCGCGCGCAGGACACCGACGCTGGGAAATGCAAGACGATCTCCGCGACGGAATACCTCGTCAGTGGGCGTGGTGCTGTTTTTCCAGAGCGAGGTTCGGTCGAGCTGCTGGCGATCAAGAACCACATCGTCGCGGTGAACTCGGAGCTTTGGGGTTTTGGGTGGGTTGCAAATCAGGGCTGGCGTTCAGTACCACCTCCCCTCCTCCCCTCCTCCCCCACTTCGTCGTGACGCCCCTGCTTCCCGCTCTCGGCGCCCTCCACCTCGCCGTCGCGCCCCCCTTCTCCAACTCCGCCTCCTCCTGCTCCTCGTCCTCTTCCTCCTCCTCGCCCTCCCCTGTCCCTGCCCACCTCCGCCCACCCCCCACCCCCGGCCACCTCCGCCCCCCGCCTCTGGCCGCCCCCGCCCGCCCCCCACCCACACCTCCATCCCGCTTCCATGGCGGCGGTGGCGGATGCTGCAGCGGAGGAGGAGGCGGGGCAGGACGCGGCGGTTGAGGAGGAGGAGGAGGAAGAGGGGCAGGCCTGTGAGGGAAGGGCTATCACTTGGGACGGGAGGAGACTGAGGATGCGAGGGTGCAAATGCAGGCGGCAGAGGTGGCGGAGACGTGCTAGTATCCCTCAGGAGGCACACGAGGACAGATTGGATTTGCCTGTCCCTCCTGTGTTTCTGCAGAACAGCAAGGCTTCAACTATTTTGGAGGGTGTTGAGCGGGCTTCGGGGCCTCTGAATCTTGAGGGCGTGATGGCGTTGGCTTCTCAGGTTCCATATGTTTTTATTAGTCAGGTGCCGGATAAAGCATCGAGTAATGTGCGGGCATTGGCGTTCCTCCACGAGAAGTACAGCCGGGCCCCCAACATTCTCGAGAGTCCGCTGCAGTGCTGCAGCGTGCACGCGGTGCACACCACAATGGTGCATGCTGCGGGCGAGGACTGCGGGGGCGGGGAGCGGTGCGGGGGGGAATGGAGGGGGCAGTATAGGTAAAAGAGGGGACGCTCGGGGACGGATGGTATCTGTGCTAGATCCCCGTTGTTCTAGAGAGCGCCCCCTTCCCGCGTCCTTCGGCGTAGTCTGTCGCCGCTCTCCGTCGTCGCATCCGCCCCCCCCCCCCTCCTTTCCGACAGCGCCCAACGCAGGACAACTTGATTGGGGACATCCATGCGAACACCGTTGTCCACAGAAGCGTTCATCATCATAACCTGGTCGCACGCGCGCTAGGGTCGCTGCTCTTGGAGCCAGGGGTGGTCGAGGTGAACTGGCTGGACCTCCCGGACCCGAAGTGGGGGGGGCACTTGGACAGCGTCTTGGGCTTCACGATCGGGAAAGACTCCCGCGGCCGGACGGACAACGTCGGCGCCGCTAGCTGTGACCAGCAGGCGGGGATCAGTAAAAACATACAAGTGATGGCCAGCGGGGGAGCACGAACAGGAGCAGCGGCTTGACGGCACAGGTTTTTTTTGTTTTTCCCGAAAGTTCGTGGGCGTTCTGGCACAGCGAGGGTTTGAGCACGTTTATGTGCTTTTTTTTTTTTGTTCAACGACGCCCCGCTCTCCCTCCCTCCTCCCCTTCCCCTCTCTCCCTCACTGCCTCCCATCCGTCCTCCCTCCCTTCCGCCCCCTCCCTCTCCCTCTCCCGCTACCTCCCCCTCTCTCCGTTCCTGTCTCTACCTCTCTCTCTTTTTTTTTTTTTTTTTTTTCTTTCTCTCTCTCTCTCTCTCTCTCTCATCTCTCTCTCTCTCTCTCTCTCCTCTCTCTCTCTCTCTGTCTCTCTCTCTCCCTCTCCCCCTCTCTCTCTTTCTCTCTCTCTCTCTCTCTCTCTCTCTCTCTCTCTCTCTCTCTCTCTCCCTCTCGCTCTCTCTCTCTCGCTCTTTTCCTCCTCTTCATCTCTCCGTCCTCGCTATCCCTCCCCCTCCCTCTCGCCCTCTCTCCCTCCCGCCCTCTCCCTCCCTCCCTCCATCTCTCTCTCTCTCTGTCGTGCACCATGGCCGGAGGACGAGGAGAATGTCAGCAGTGCGTTTGCGGGGAACCGCGTCCAAGATGGCGCGCATGGCGAAGATCAAGCAATTTCTGAATGGGGACATCCGCTCAGACAGGATAGTGCACTTCGAGAGGCTGTGCGGCCAGTGCGGCAGCCACGACGAGGCCGTGGATAACATCTTCGCCGCGCTGCTCGAGGGCGGCGTGCTCTTGCCCCCCGGGCGCCGCGAGCCTTCCAAGAACCGCTGGGGCCATATGGACGAGAGCATGGCAGAACAGGCCCCCCTCGTCCCGCCCCCCCCCCCCCCCCCCCCCGAGTTACTGCCTGCCCTCCCTCCCCCTCCGCCTCGACATTGTCCCCGCCGACTTGTGCGCATGCCGCCAGCTTTCTCTATATGTTGTCTCATTGTTTCATCCATTTTGAACGTGCCATTGCTCTCCCTGGTGCTTGGTGCGTTTCTAGGCCCCCGCCCCCCTCCACCCCTCTCTGCCAACCTTTCGCTACGATCCGCGTTGCGCGCCCTTGTGCCTATGTGACTGGCATGCGATCCGTAGCGGGTTTGGCTTGTAGCATTTGCGTCTTGCGGCAGTGCAATGGCAGTCGACGAGGCGGCGTACGACGAGACGGCAGATGAGGATGACGATTGGCTGGAGGAGCATCGGCGTCTTATGGAAAGCGTGGAACGGCAGGAAGAGGAGCATCGGCTACTTCTGGAAGAGTCGCGCAGGAGCAAGTACGAGATCGAGTTGGCCTTGTTCAGGTTCCAGTGCATCTTGAGGAGCCGATCGCCTTCATCTCCGACGTCTTTTGCGTCGGCTCCGCCTACCCCGCAGCCTGACGATGCCTCCCCGCGGGACACTGCGTCTGACCGTCCTCTCGCCGTCACCCCGCCGTTGTGGCCAGCCAAGAGCGAGAGCACAACTGACCTCCATACGCCGTGCGGATCAGCCGAGCTGGACTCCGTTGGGCCTCCACCGACATCTCCGCCGATGCACAGCGAAGCTGAGAATCCGCCGCCGCGACCTCCGCCGGCACCGCTTCCCGCGGAGCCGCGACTCGCATCGGCCCAGCTTGGGCAGCCTCCACCAGACGAGCCCCAAGGATCCACGTTCACGATCCCCGAGAATGCGGTTGCTGCTAACAGCTGTGCATATACCGCGCCCGCCGGAGCTGTCCGAGAGTCATCGCCTCGGCGGTCGCGATCGGCACCGCGGTGCAGGCCAGTGTATATCTAGCCCTGTTGAACATCTTTCGGTGTCGAGCCCGAGCGAAGAAAAGCGAGTCGTCGGCGGTCGGCGTTGACAGCGTCGCCGGCGTCGGCGGGGTCAGGGAAGCATGGTGGACTGAGGATATTATGGAGTGTAGAACTGGCAGGGGGCACTGTTGTACATGGCACGATAGGAAGAGATCAAGGCATAGTAGACTGCTCCCGTCAAGTAGTAATGGGTGGAGGGTCAGGGATGCAGGTGTGTAAGTGGGCTTGTGTAGTCACTCACCTTTCTCATCTGCTTACCTTGTTTCATGTTCATTGCCTTTGCCCTTTCCGCCTTGCAGGCACCAGGCATCATGATCCACGACCTGGCCGCGAGGGCGATCTTGCGAGCTTTCCCCCGGTGGGAGAAGATTGCGGCGGCGGCAGACCAGGCTCCGCTCGGGGGAGGGTTGCCTGCATCGATCCAATGCTCATCTTGCCCCGCCGTCCGCGGCCCGCCCCCCTGCCCTCTCCGCGCGTCGGGTGGCGAAGGAGGCGGAGGAGGAGGAGGCGGGGGAGGAGGGAGAGGGGGATCGTGACCCCTCGCCTCGGCCCCCGTCCTCACCCTGACCCTGCTACCCCGACGCACTGCAGCTAGCTACCCCGCCCCCCCACCAAACGCCCGCTCGTGTCGGACCCCCCCCCCCCAGCGCCCCTGGCCCATTCTCCTCATCTACACTCCGACCCCGGAAGCTCAAGCAGGATGCCGACACCGTTGAGTATCGCAAATACGTGGCCAGCAAGATTTACCGCGCGTGCTGCGTGATGAGGACGGGGACACTTAAGATCCGCATGCTCAGTGCGATGTACGCCGGACGGCCACTCCACTGGCTTTGGCAACGCCTGGAGTGGCTGGACGAGAATCGCAGCGGCATCCTTGATGCGACGATCTTAGCATCACCGATCGTGGAGTCGATGGGGTCAGTCAGGAGGAGAGGATGAGGATGACGATGCGGACTAGGAGAACGGAGACGAGAATGGCAGTGGGATGGTGCGGATGTTGCGGTGGTCGTTGCGGGCC